AAGTTCTTAGTCACTGATTTTTGTGTTAAAAAAAAAAATAGGAAAGAGGGAAACTGCAGCTTTCATTACAGATTCCTTGATTTGTAAGCTCTCCAAATGATGAATTCTCTGATTTTGCCTCTGGATAGTAGATCTTGAGCATTTATCTCGGGCTTTAATTTGCTAAAGCTGTGCACACGTGTAAAAAAAAAAAAAATAGGTTATTTTAGGGGAGATGTCGGTGTAGAATTATGGCTTATGTCATTTCTTAAGCAGTTACGCTCTTAATGCTTAAAAGGAGGCTAGGATTGTTTGCACAAAAAGTTGGTGATTCTCTCCCCCAAATAGTAATAAAATTACTTCTGTGGAGTAAACTTATGTCATCGAAAAGCTGAAAAAAATCCCTGTTTCTATTTATAAAAAACAACAAAAAAAATGCTTTTCTATATGTACCCTTGGTAAGACTTTGAAGAAATCATGTAAGATGATAATGCATTTGAATGGTACAGTAGATGTAAAAAAAAATTCAGTTTAAAAGAACATTGTTTTTACATTAAATGTTTATTTGAAATCAAACAATTTTGTACATAAAGTTCAATAATATAAAAGCTATTAAAAAAAAAAGAAAGAAAAGAAAAGAAAAAGAAACTGGTACCTAAATAAGGCATCCTCCTTCCAGGAGTCCCACATATTCTCTGGGGAAGGCAGCTGTTGAACAAGTTGTGGGATCTGAGCTCTTGGTCCTTCCAACCCCCACCAACCATGCCCACTTGACTCCAGCCCATCAGAGGGACCCAAGTCTCTGGTTGCCCCACCTGGTTCTTTTAATTCTGCTGGACTGGGTGGGAGCTGGGGTAAGGGTCCTGGGAGGAGTACTGGGGATCTGACCTGCCAGCAAATGGGATATAGGTTAAAAAGTAACCATATGCCGGGCGCAGTGACTCACGCCTGTAATCCCAGCACTTTGGGAGGCCGAGGCGGGTGGATCATGAGGTCAAGAGATCGATACCATCCTGGTCAACATGGTGAAACTCCGTCTCTACTAAAAATACCAAAAATTAGCTGGGCATGGTGGCGCGTGCCTGTAGTCCCAGCTACTCAGGAGGCTGAGGCAGAATTGCCTGAACCCACGAGGCGGAGGTTACGGTGAGCCGAGACCGTGCCGCCATTGCACTCCAGCCTGGGTAATAAGAGCAAAACTCCGTCTCAAAAAAAAGTATCCATATGTACTATTATTAACACAAAACAGTTTGGGATATATAAGTGGAAAACAAGGTTTATAAAACTATGTATTGCATTCTCCCATCTATTTTATATTTTATATGTGTTTAGAAAATAATATTGAGGCTATTTATACATCATTGTGGGATTATTTTTGAATTTTATGTCGTTTTTATTTTAAAAATAATACATTAAACCAATCAGACTTGAGAAAAAGTTGTAGTATTATTGACATATTGATATACAATCCCCAAAGCTGGAAGTATATATACATATATAGACATGTATACACACACACACACACACACACACGTTAGGCCATTTTTTCGTTGCCGTGAAGGAATACTTGAAACAGAATAATTTATAAAGAAAAAAGGTTTTATAGAAAAAGAAGAAAAAAAAAGAAAAAAGGTTATATTTTAGCTCCTGGTTCTGCAGGCTGTACAGAAAGCATAGTGCTGGCATCTGCTTCTGGTGAAGCCTCAGGAGGTTTACAATCATGGCAGAAGGCAAAGGGGAAGCAAATGAGAGAGGGGTAGGAGATGCCACACTCTTTTAAACAACCAGGTCTCAGGTGAACTCACAGAATGAGAACTCACTCATTACCACATGGATGGCACCAAACCATTCATTAGGGATCTGTGCCTATAACCCAAACACCTCCCACCAGGCCTCACTTCCAACACAGGGGATTACATTTCAGTAAGAAAACTGAAGGGGACAGACATCCAAACTCTATCATGTACCTATCTATCTATCTATCTATCAATCAATCAATCATCTGTCTATCCATCTTATCTATTGGGAGAGGTGGGTTGGGGGCAAACTTATTGTCATTTGAGAAAGCACAGACGCTGAAGTGACAAAGGAAACAGAACTATAGTACATAGAAGAGTTTAAGAGAATAATAAGATTTATGGTAAAAAAGTAGAAAACCTTTTATTCTTAAATTTGAAAATCTAGGAAATGATAATTTTTATTCAAATACAGAAATCTAAGCCAAAGGAAGCTGCAAAACAGGTAATTTATTGTCTTATATAACCGGGAAGTCCATGGCCCTAGTAGCCTCAGGCATGGCTAATCCAGCAGTTCAAACCACATTCCCAGGACTGAAAGTCTTCTTGTTTGCTTATGCCTGGCTATGTTGTCAGACATGTACTGTTTAAATGACAGCAGTTTAACACAAGCAACTCCAGGTCTACAATGCTTTATAGCCAAAGGTCCTATATTAATTCCCATTCCAGTTATCTATGATGTGTAATAAAGCTTCTAAAATTTGGCCGGGCGTGGTGGCTCAAGCCTGTAATCCCAGCACTTTGGGAGGCCGAGGCGGGTGGATCACGAGGTCAAGAGATCGAGACCATCCTGGTCAACACGGTGAAACCCCGTCTCTACTAAAAATACAAAAAATTAGCTGGGCATGGTGGCACGTGCCTGTAATCCCAGCTGCTCAGGAGGCTGAGGCAAGAGAATTGCCTGAACCCAGGAGACGGAGGTTGCGGTGAGCCGAGATCGCGCCATTGCACTCCAGCCTGGGTAACAAGAGCGAGACTCCGTCTCAAAAAAAAAAAAAAAAAAAGCTTCTAAAATTTAATAGCTTACAAATATATTTGTTTTACTTACAATTCTACAATGTGGATGGGGCTCAGTGGCGACAGTGTAGTTTTGCTCCTTTTAGCATGAACAAGGGCAGCTAAAGCCTGGAAGAGGGGATCACCTAGCTCATTTACATGTCTGGAGGCTAGCTCATTTGCATACCTGAAGCAGGGGAACACTCAACAGCAGAGCCCCTCTGGTTTCTCTATCTGTATGTGCTCTCTATGCAGTGTCTCCAGTATGGTGGCTTGGGAGTAAGGCTTCTTACATGTCATCTGAAGGCTTCCGAGGTGATTCTCCAGAGAAAGTGAGGTGGGAAAGCTGTATCAATGCTTATTTCCTCGCCTGAGAAGACATACAGCATCACTTTTGGCACATTCTATTAATTGAGGCTGTCACAGGGGCCTGTTCAGGTTTAAGAGGAGGGGAAACAGGCCCATAGCCCTTTTTTTTTTTTTTTTTTTTTGCGATATGGTTCTCACTCTGTTGCCTAGGCTGGAATGCAGTGGCATGATCATGGCTCATTGCATTCTTGATTTCCCAGGCTCAAGTGATCTTCCCGCCCCAGCGACTTGAGTAGCTGGGACCACAGGAGCTCACTTTCAGGCCTGGCTAATTTATTTTTATTTTTTGTAGAGACGGGGTCTTCTTATGTTTC